ACAAAACAAGATTGAGGTACACAAATCATGTAGATATATACATAATTAGCCTACTTCTTCCCAAAGTAGTTCAATGTCGTTTGTTTATTTTTCTCAACTGCTGTATATTCATTTTGTTTTTGGGTTAGTTGTACAGTTGTTTCTTGTTCTTGTTTCTGAACTTGTGCGAATTCTTGTTGTTTTTGAAGCATCTTTTGTCTTAACAAATGATTTACTTTGTCAGATCAGATTCAAAAGTGAAGTCAAACTTACCTCCATTGTTCAGCATCTGATAGTATTTTCTTTAATTCTTGTTCACGTTGACGTATTGCATCTGCTAGTTTTCTAAATTCTTGTTCTAATGGTTGTATAGCTTGTTGCTGTTGCTGTATTTGTTGGTTTAATTGTTGTATTTCACGTTGAATTTCTGCATACCTTTGTTTAGCTTCTTGTAATTCTTGAAGTAATTCATTTTTTAATTGTTCATATTCTTGTTTTCGATTTTGTTTCATATCAATAATTCGTGCAATTTTATCTAATTTATCTTCAATTATTTCAATTTCTTGTTCTAAACGATCACATTCATCTTGTAATTTTGCTAATGTGTCTTTCATTTCTGAAAGTTTTTGTTCGGTTTTTTCAATTAATTCTTCATTTCGTCGAATATCTTCTTCAATTTGACGTATTTCATTTTCACATCGTTCAATTTCAACTTGAATTAATCGGATACGTTCCATGGTCGCTTTAATTTCTTGTTCTAATTGTTTGATTTGTAATGTTAATTCACTAATTTTCTGTTCAATTTCTTGTTTTTCTCGTTCGAGAACTTTTCTTTGTTCTTCTAATTGTTCTTTTTCGTCTTGAAATTCTTGTAATTTTTCTTTTAATTCTCCTAATTTTTCTTTGATCTCTTCGAGTTGTTTTTTGTTTTGATCAAGTATTTGTTGTTGTTCCGCAAGTTGCTGCTCTAATTTTTCTTGTTCATCTCCTAGTTTGTTGATTTCTTCATCTAATTTTGCTTGTTCGACTTTGAGATTTTGAATAAGAGCTTCTAATTCTTTCAAACGAGCTGTGTTTTTCGTTTCTTCTTCTTCTAATTTGGCTTTTTCAGTTTTAAATTGATTGAGTTCAGCATCGGCTTCAGCTTTTTCCTTTTGTAATTGTGCGATTTCAATTTGAAGAGTGAGAATGTTTGCTTCATTAGCTTGTTTCTGTTGTTGTTCACCAAGTTGATGATTTTGATCAAAATCATCGTTATTCCTTGTTCTACGAGTAGCCATAGTGTGTATAATGCTACAAGAAATGAAAATAGGTCGATTCGAATGCGTTATATATATGTGTACTAGATCGGCTGGAAATTCCCAACTTCTTCTATTTATCTTCAAATAGTAGGATTTCTCCAAAAATATTAGTAACCTTGAGTCATTTAAAAATGGAAAAAGACAACCGTTTATATGCTCTGTTCTTTGTTTGATTGGTGACTCATATTATTCTCCTTGTGCAGACAAGTTGGTAGTTTAAGGTTTTTTTTTTTCTTGTTTTGCCTTCAGTGTTTTATCTTCCCTATGATGATTTGCGGCCGTATGGCTATTGACGAAAGAAGAAAGCAA